ATGGTGAAGGAGATTGTTGTGAAATGGTGACTTGGTGTGTGGGATGGTGGAGGAGATTGTTGTGAAATGGTGACTTGGTGTGAGATGGTGTGGGATGGTGGAGGAGATTGGGGTGAAATGGTGACTTGGTGTGAGATGGTGTGGGATGGAGGAGATTGGTGTGGGATGGTGACTTGGTGTGTGAGATGGTGTGGGAGATTGGTGTGGGATGGTGTGTGATGGTGGAGGAGATTGGTGTGAAATGGTGACTTGGGGTGTGAGATGGTGTGGGATGGTGCGCGGTGGGGTAGGATATTGGCGTGGGGTGTGAGATGTTGTGGAGTATTATAGGATCTTGGTGTGGGGTGGTGTAGGAGAATTGCTCTGGGCTGATGCGGGCATTGGTGGAGGGGAGCGATGTGGTTGGTTGATGTAGTGGGTGGATGGAGTGTAGTGGTGGTGTATGATGGGGGGTGTGGGTGTTGTGTAGGAGTGGTGTTATGACTGTGGTTGGGTGTGGTTGCTCGGACATGCGGGGGCATGTGCGGGCCCGCAACTCGCTCGGCACATGATGCCCTCCACGTGCCGCTGTTGCTGATGTTGTCAAGCCTAAGAAGTGGCCAATTGAATCTCGCCGTTTAAAAATAAAGAAAATTACCCTGCAACGCTGGACAACTCCCTTTTGCAAATGGGAGCGATGTATCCAAGCTGTGTAAACACGCACGCGAATTAATACGTAAACAAGTAAACGGCAGCCGGACATAATTCTAATGTAATTATAAACATGGGGTGGGGGGGGGGGGGTCTGTCTAATAATATCAACCCGACTCCGTTTACTGTATGTGTTCGTGTGTGTTTTCGCGGGCGCTCCCCGAATTCTCAAAACTTTCCCCGTCTGCCTTGCTGTCAAAGTGCCATGTAGTCTGAGTGCCATGTGGTCTGAGTGCCATGTGGTGAGTGCAGTGGGGAGCGGTGGTTGTAGCGGTTAGCACTTTGCTTCGTTACGAACCCGGCGACCCGAGTTCGATTCCCGCTCACGGCCAAACACCCAGTGACGATTTTCTGAACCGGTCCTAGGCCTTCCCCCCCCTAGGTCGACTCGGCCTCGAATGAATTCCTCGGTGCGGTGCGTAAACATTTAAGTTTCATTTCTTTTGGTATAGCCCTGTGAGCCGTTCGGCTCTTGAATGGGTGCAACCGCAACTAACGAGACAAAAACATGAGCAAGAAAACGTCTTAAAGTGACTGACTATGTGCAAACAGAAAATCCAGGAAAAAACAGAAATATTACAGAAAAAGCACCGTACACCCACGCTGTGTGCAAAAATACCAGTGGGATGCAAGTCAAACAACAACAACCACAAGACAAATAGGATGAAGGCCATCAGTCTAATTCCGTACTGCAACAAGCAAACATGGCCAAACCCAAAAAGTTTTTGAAATCACCAAAATAAAGCCATAAAAGCAATGTAACATTGATCATAGGAACTGACCGAATTTTCACAAATGACATAAACAACATCGCCACGAGGAAGACAAAGGCGGCCAGGCGTGGTGCTGTTCCACCCACCCCCTCGTGTGCCATTCCGGCCTTCATATTTGCTCACTAACAGCACTTGCCCCAATGGTGTGTCAAGGCTATACGAGGGATCTTTGTCTTTGTAAGAGTGCAGATTACTGCAAGTTTGTGTGTGCGTGTGTGGTGACGTACAAAGTATGAGCGGCATGTGAGGTTGGGATAGAGGGTGTCGATGTGTGTTTATGTGAATTTGTATTCGTTGTGTTTTGTTTGAATGACACATACAGTCGAGCTTGCAAAGTAGATGGAAATAGATGCGTGTCTTTGCCTTTTGTTTGGTGTGGGGAGCAGCAGTGTAGCGGTTAGCATGCTTCACCACGAACCCAGCCACCTGAGTTCGAACCCAGCGGGACCTGGGTTTGATTCCTGCCGAACCGGTCCCGGGCCCTTCCCTCGGTCGAATCGCCCACAAATTTGTACCTGGTGCCAGTGTACAAGCATCCCCACTCTGGAGACAAAGGCGGCCAGGCTTGGTGATGGTCACCCGCCCTCTCGTGTGCCGTGCCGATCTTAATAGGTGCTCGCTAACACAGCACTTATCTCGAAAGTCTTGTCTTTGTCCATGCTTGCTATCTGGACTTGCTGCCCCAACAGCCATGCGTGTCGCCTACGTGGAGGAGATTTGCCTTTGTATTTTTAGGTTTTTTTCGGTAAAGTCACGTAGGTAAAAAATTAAAATTAATAAATGTAAAATAAAAATTAAATAAAAATCACGACGTTTCGGAGGCAACACAAGCTTCCGTCTTCAGGTGTAACCGTCACAGCACGATAGCTGTATCAAGTGAAATTTTTCGGTTCCACCTGAAGACGGAAGCTTGTGTTGCCTCCGAAACGTCGTGATTTTAATTTTATTTTTATTAATTTTAATTTTTTACCTACGTGACTTTACCGAAAAAACCTCGGAGTATGAATCCTTGCAGTCACGAAAGCTTCAAATCTAGAATTTATCTTTGTGTTGAAGAGGGCATGGGCAGGCGTGGGATATGTCAGAGGACAGCCCTGGACCGATCTTGAGCCGCGTGTGTGTGAGGCTTCTGATGGGACTCTGTGGAGTCCCGATGCACTGGCCATCATCTCATCATCAGGCCAAGTGATGGTGTCCCTATAAACAGCCGTGTGGTCACAGCGTGCGGTCCCAGCGTTGCATTAATAGAACGTACACGCATATATATATATACACCCAGGGTGTCCGAAAATCAATATACTAAAAAGAACATGGAATAGTTTTGTGTTTTTCGAGATACTGACATCAGTGTAATATTATGAACACGTGTAATTTACTTTGTAAGTGTAAAACCGTGCCTCGCCTGCCCGTGCCCTGTCAGATGGCCACGGGGGGCGGTCGAGTGGAAAGTGGAACTTCGCCGAAGCCAATCTGTGTGGCGACGCGCGCTTGCTTGTACTCGCTTATGGTGTGGCCCCACACTTGCACACTTTAGTGTGCTCGCGTGCATATACTTACACCTTAAATACACTTGGGTACACATGCACACTGGTGTGTATAGCAAGCGTGTACCTTCATATGAATGTATTTTGCAAAGAAAAAACACCGCCCGTATATCCTTAACAGACTCTCGGGGGCAAGTGCTGTTGGAGAGCACCTATTCCATATATATGTAATACGCACAGGCACAAATACACATGCAGAGCGCACGCACGTAGTAACACAGACGTACAGATTCAAACAAACGTACATATACATACAGACACACACACGATACAGATAAACATGCGCATAGGCGTACGGACACACACACACGCTAATATGGTTAATGGTTCGGTCAACAGAACTGGTTCAATTAACCTCTGGACATAAACAACAGCTCGTGTCCTTGCTTTTAAATGTATGTTAATTGCACGGTTTTGTGTTGCTTTATTTGATTACCAAAACAACCCATGATGAGTTTGACTAACAACCAGTGTTTTGTGTGCGTCGCCTGCCTAGACTGTTAAGTGTTTTAATCGTGTTTGGGTATTGTACCCTTGTATGCATGGAATATTCTCTGGGCATTCAAATTTCCTCCTGCACAAATTGAATTATTACCATCGGCCATGCCCAATGGACATTTGACTGCTGGATGAAGGCCCCTTCTTTCCACAACCGTTCAGGGTCGTGGTAGGCGAGAGGGCATGGAGGGCGGTTGGCTATGCTTCCTCATGCTAGTCAGCGCAAGTTGGTGAAGGCCCAGGGCCCAAGAGGAGTTGGGTAGATATCACTCGCATTAGCCAATGTCCGGGAATCGAACTCTGCTGGCTGGGTTTAGAGTGTGGCACGTGCCACAGCCCACCCCCGTCCACCCCTCGCCACTTCCCGAAACAATCACCGCGCTGCGGTCAAAAATGTTCCAAAGTGACACTCTGCTGATGAGATTTGGGAGGTCAAAACCTGGACTGGGTCCCATGTTTTTTTATTTAAATTTTTCCGTGCTTTTAACAAATTCTGGAAAACATTGGCCCAGACTGGTCCCAGAGGCTGACGAACTGAACCAAAAGTGTTTTGGCGGGGAAGGCGACCCCCCCCCCTTTTCCTGTTTATTTATTCCGTTATTAAGCTATTACTCAAACATCCCCAAAATAAGACCTTGCAAAACCAAACAAAGAAAAAAAATATCGCGACTCGGTGAGGGCCTACTCCGGGCAAATAGAGAAAAACATTTATTGTTATTACTGTTCCAGGTAAGGCCCACTGAGCTATATAGTCCTTTTTTAAGAAGCCACCTGGCCACAAATAGCTTATCGTAGTGGCTTATCACGTGGAAATGTATAGCAGCCAAATACTCTTAAACACATGTTGATTCTAAAGGACCCGTAGGAAAACTCACACGACCACGGGGAGGAACATGCAAACTCCAAATATACAGCAGGCGTCAGGGTCGGGATCGAACCCACGACCTCCTGTATACCAGGCGAGGTAGTTTACATCTCGCCACCATGGCATCCACGCCGTTGCGTGAATTGCGTGGCCTTCAAGGCTTTAGTCCCAGAAGAGTGGCCGACTGCTAATCGACGTTAACAGGGCTTAGTTTCAGCCGGGTTTGTCCAGGTCCGACACATCCAGTGTTAGCTCCCCCAGTGGCCATGGTTGTTAGTCTCATGCTGCCTAATCCCAGTCTACCAGTGACCCGAAAAAAAATATTTATGCACCCGGCACACCCACATCAAGTGTATACCTTTTTGCTGTGGCTGTGGCTCTTGTAGTTATGTGCCACATACTCCACTCTATGAGTGACCTGAGAATATCTGCTCAACCGGTACACAACATCTAAGTGTACGATTTGTATAGCAGGATGAAGAGAATCCTTCTGATCTGCATTATAATAGTAAAACACCGTGTGGATGCCTGTGTGTGTTCGTCATATCGCATCTGTAGTCTGTGCATGCACTGACATGAACCCAAAGACCTGGGTTCTAATGCTGCCTCTTCCCATCTTCTCGTTTGCAGTCTTTCCAAGGAAGCCAGGGACGAGCCTACCTCTTCAATGCTGTGTAAGTGACCCCTTCCTTAAACTCGTCGCTTTTACATTTTGGGACACAGCGTGGGAGAGGTGGCAGCCAGGGCATGGCTGGCTGGTTGATTGAGGGGGCTTGGTGGGGTACTTGGGAGGTCGGGTGACTAGGTGGGTGGCTGGGTAAATGGATAGCCAGATAGGTGGGTGGTTGTTGGGTGACTGGGTGGCACGGTGGGTGGCCGGGTATGTGTGTGGCTGGGGTCGGTGGTTGGCTGGTTGGGTGGCTGGGTGGGTGGCTGAGTGATTGAGTGGGTGGATTACTTGAGGCCACTCCGGTGTCACCCATAGATGGATCACCTTGACAGTTTTTTTTGGGCGGAGACAAAAATAGTCCCAAGGAAAAACGATTGTTGTGGAAGGTCGCATGGATTGGAAAAAAGTTTTGCGAGGACACGGGGATGAACTTGCGTTAACGTCCCCCATGGGACTCCGGATGGGAGCCCTCTCCATCCTCTCCCCTGTGTTTGTCTGGCCCAGGTCTCCCATGCAAAAGAGGCTCGTTGTCTCATTAGGTTGTCACCTGCCAGAGTAAAAGGCAATCAATTGATTAAGACGCTCCACTTTTCACGAAGGTTCTGCTGCAATCGGGATAATTTTTTCCATGAATGACATTTTTAGTTGAGAGTTTGACTTGTTGGAGGAAACGGGGAGAACCCGGAGAAAACCCAACACCGCACGTAAATACGACGGGGTGACACTCGGCACTGCCATCTCCTGGCCACACCGTGCTGCTCCACACCGACATTCGCCTTGCAAGCCCTGGTAGCAGTGGACCCATCCAAGTACTAACCTGGCCAAATCCTGATGGTGGTATAAGGTCCAAATGAAGTCGGGTGCATTTCCAGTGCTTTGGTTGTAGATGGTAATCACAATGCACACATGGACAGAACTCTATTCAGTGTGTACAGACAACAGCTATTTAGTGTTTACAGACCACGGCAAGTTTAATGGTGTTCCACCCGAACCACACTCCTCTCGCGATTAACCATACACAAACGCGTGTCACCCTGGGGCAGGGGTCTGCAAACTGCGGCTCTAGATTTGCATGCGGCTCATTAAGGACTGCTTCATGATGTTATTTATTAAGGACCCACCGTCTCGTATTTAAATTGTATTGCTGCTTTTTAAATTGGCTTTTTTACCGAATAGTAAAAAATGGCTCTTGTTATTTTGGATTCTGACCCCTGCCCGGCAGCATTATGGGTAAAAACAAATTTCATCAGAACTCCATTCTCTGTCCACACACATAAACTTCATTTAACTCCCCATCAACTTACCGGCTTTCCAGACAAATATAATCGAGCAGCATTTCCTCAAGCAAGCAAACCTGGAGACTGGGTTTCAATCTTCTGGGCCTCATCAGCAGAATGAGGGCTCGGTAAACAAATGCCGCTGAATTACCGGATGCTGTTGGCAAGAGCACTCCGTATAAACCACGGCAGCCCGTTCAAAGCAGAATATAGTAATACTGTACACAACCTCCCACCATGCTTTTTGCCCAAGCTTTACACGCTTGGCGTTGATACCTGTCAAACTGATGTTATTGCCCAAACCCCCCTCACAGCACAACGTCAGTGCCTCCCAACAAAACGTCTTTAGCAATGTTTTTGTTTTGTTTTTAAACCGGTTGGACCCCCGCTTCCAGAGCCTGCCCTCCCACCCGTTTGACCATAAGCTTGAATTCTGGTGGAGGTTTTTGTTTTGTTTTATCACCGCTGTAAACATTAACCCCGGGCAAACTGCATGAGCTAAGCTTTCGCAATAATGCCTTGGGCCCCCCCCCACCCCCCCTGCATTGTGCTGGTCAAAGTCTGTGTGTCTGACCTCCTTCCGTTTACTCTGACTCTTACTCTTGAGTAAGCTAGCAGCTCAGCCGCCAAAAACTTCAATCATTAAACCTGTGAGCATTGGTGCAAAGTGCCGGGTTGTGCTTCACCGGTATCCTGTGTGAGTGCCCGCGCGCGCGTCTTTGTGTGTTTACTCTGACTCTTACTCTTGAGTAAGCTAGCAGCACAGCCGCCAAAAACTTCAATCATTAAACCTGTGAGCATTGGTGCAAAGTGCCGGGTTGTGCTTCACCGATATTCTGTGTGAGTGCCCGCGCGCGTGTCTATGTGTGTGGTCGACTGGCCTCAAATAAGTACCTGGTGGTGCGATGTGTAAACATTGCCACTTGAGAGACAAAAGGCATCGTGCTGGCCACCCAACCACCTCCTGTGCTTTGCCGGCCTTCATCGGTACTCGCTAACAGCACTTTCTACAAACGTCTGTTCAGGCAATACGGGGGATCTTTGTCTCGTGGTGTAGGAATTCTGTGTTTGTCGATGTACCGATTTGCTTTCGCGTGTTTGATACAAAACACAAATCTGCTCTTTGTTCCCCAGTGGTGGATAAGATGTCATTTGAAGAAGGGATCTCGGAGGTAGTTTTGTGATATCTGCTTCCGCAGGCCACTCGGTCCTAACACAAAGGGTGGCACTGTTCTGTGAGGGTTATAGTTCTTTGAGATAATTTTGGGAAAATTACACATTTTTACGTAAACCGAAAACAAAACAAACCTTTCATGTAGAACAGGACGTTGTGGAGGGTTGAAGGTTGGGTGTGCGCAGTGTAGATTGGGACATAATCTACTCATGTCGTGTGTATTGCCGTCCGTCGATCTGACACGTGACGAGCGTTGTGGCAGATTTGTTTTGGCAAAGCGAGAGTGACTGACAGCATCCGGAGCCGTGCCTAGCCTCTTATAGCTTTTGTAAACAAACACCGCCAGCCCCTCCTACAGTCGAGAGCGCCTGGGGTCGGAGTTCAGTGCTCCAGTGTTTCCACAGAATTAAAAGTTAAATGAAGTGCCCGTTCTTCCCATTTTGGTATAGCTTGTTTATCTTGCAAGGGGTGCGTGCGGCTGTTATTAAATTAAAGGTGATTTTGCGAACGATGATAGATGTTACAGTTTTAATCCACGTCACACAGACATAACAGACATCTCGTTTACGTGCCAGAAATGCTTGTGATACGTGAGTCCCTACAGTGATTGGGGATCACACATTGTTCAGACGCAATAGGCATGACTCTCTCATTGCAACCGGGACAGCCATAGGCAAAGGGAAGAAAGTAAAGGGCTTGAGCTTGGACTTGAACAGGGGCAGGGAGTCGACAGCACAGATGGCTGGGAGAAGACATCCAGACGATGGGGCGAGCAACAGAGAATTCGCAACCTCCCACTGCGCTTGGACAACTACTAATGCACGTCGTTGTGCGTGCTTGTCACGTGACTTCCTGCCAGCGAGCCTTCAATGTTTCACGCGGGCCCCAATGCCCACCTAGCCTGGTACAATCGCAGTACCGACGTCGCCATCAATTAGCGGCGAAGGGCGGCTGTCATTGTGCTTCGTGCGCTGCTTAGCTCCTCGCTAACAGCCGTGCGTAAAGGGCCGCGTGGGTGATCCGTGCGATCTGTGATGCGTGTGTGCGGTTGTGCAGGGTGAACGTGGGCTGCGGTCCGGCGGAGGAGCGACTGCTGCTCACCGGCCTGCACGCCGTCGCCGATATCTACTGCGAGAACTGCAACACCACGCTGGGCTGGAAATACGTGAGTGCTCGCCGCCTTCCTTATTGCAGCCCCCAGACAACCTTCAACTCCAGTTGGGGGTTGCTCATTCTCCTGTTCGGCCTCCCACCCCAGCCATCCGTGCTTTTGACACCCTGGCCCCAAGCTCAAGTCCAATCTCAAGAACTTCCTATATCTTCTTGGTTCTTTCTACGTGACTTTACCAAAAGAACCAAGAAGATGAATCCCTGCAGTCACGAAAGCTTTAAATCGAAACTTCCTATATTTTTATCTCTGCCTATGACTGACCGCCTCCGTCTAAAATAAATGCGTCCACCGTGTCTGTACTGAGCCTTGGGACGCGGTGGCATTTGGACGCTACGTGAATTCCAAATCGCATTGTGTTTGTATTGTGAGCGGAGGAAGCGGCATGGGCCGGCACTTGAAAGGCTAATGGAGTTGTTGGCTCTGCAGGCATCCACCGAGGGAAGGAGGAGGGGAGGAGTGGTTTCCAGACGGCAAAGGGCAGCAGAGGAGGTTGACTCGGAGGTTTGCCGAGAGGCCTGGGATGCTGAAATGAAGGAGTCTTTCTCGAGAGATCTGGCTTAATTGAATGTTTGAAGCGCATCGTTTGAGTGTTGGCGGAATTTGGTATTCCCAGAGAAAACGCACAAATGCGTAAGAGGGGGAGAGCAAGCCAAACGTCACACGGACAAAAAAACTACTTCAGAAAAATAGCAAATAATTAAAAGTGATTGCTGGCAACCAACATGTACATGGGTCACCATAAGTGACTAGCCACTACGTAATTGTGTTTTTCTACGAATAAATGTGGATGTAAAAATGCAACAATTCGTAAATGAACGTATTTTTTCTCGCTTTCGATGACGTGTTGAATCGTGATAGAATGTAATGATTGCGATTGGGCTGTGTTGAGCAAGTGGGCACAGTGGTTAGCAGACTCTGCTGTGAACCAGACAACCCGAGGTCGATATCCAGCCCCAGTGACGAGTAATTTTTGAACCGGTCCGGGCCCCCACCATCACCCCACCCCCCTTCACCAACATGCACTGACCAGCGTGGTGAAGTATGGTCGAAATAACCCCCATAATCAATATGGGCATTGGAAGGCCTTCATCCAGTAGTGGAGTGGCTCTGGGTACAGGCCCAAAGGCCTGTAACGCTGGGTAGCAGGCAACAAAGAGTACTCACGATGAAGGATTGGCGATGCATCGATTTGTAGGTTAATGCCGAGTTGGTTGATGGGCGCTGAATGGATTTTTGTGTCGCAATACTGAGTAATGGCGACGGCTATAAAGAGGCCCTCCTCCCAAGCAGTGGATTGACCATAGAGGAGTTAAATGAAACGCATGTTGTTATGTAATTGATGCACGTGATCCCCTCCAGCCATTGGAGGCCACTTAACGTTTATTGCGGTGTAAACAAATAATTTCTCGAATCGAAGTTTGACAATTCCTTCTGCGGTGCGGATCGTTTAAGCCGCTTGAAGGGCTCAACGCGAAATATAAAATGGCGCCCCCTCCCCCGTCCCTCTTGTTCCGACAGGAGCACGCGTTTGAGAGCAGCCAGAAGTACAAGGAGGGCAAGTACATCATCGAGGTGGCGCACATGATCAAGGACAACGGCTGGGAAGAGTGAGACACGCGGCCATCGGTGGAGGCGCGGCGGTCGGGACAAACGATGGAGTGGAGAAGGAGGAGGAGGAGAGGAGGAGGAGGAAGACGACAGGGATTTGTTTCTTCAGCAATTTTTTTTATTTTTATAATTCCGTGATATTTATTTTTGTTTTCTTAACCGATCATTATTTCTTTCCTTTTGTTTTTTCAAAACGCTACGCCCTGAACAGACCTTTTTCCGAAACAAAATCGCAGAGCTTGCGTACGCTACACGAAGACCGCTGAACGACGAGATGCGAGTTGTGGCAGCGCGAGGCTCGGAACGACGGAGGGGAACAGCTGCACTGGGGAGAGCGCGGCCCCTTGTTCCAGGCGGCGCCGTTGGCACGCGACGCGACGCGACGCGGTGACGCGCCACGGTGCGGCGCGATAACGATGCGACCCCCTCCCCCCGTGTGTTCCCACGTTGTTCCGTCTTCTCCTTGGTAGCCCCCTCGCCACCCCCTCGCCCAGTGTATGGCGCCTGTGGAGAGCGCTACGATCACAGCGTGCGGTGCTATCGTGCCACTTCCGTGCTTAAATACTCGCGCTAAAGTCACACGACGACAAACGACGCGACCGCGGTAGGTTTTCGTGGTCGTGCTGCGCCGCTCCCCCGACGCGTTTTGGGGTTTGTACCGCGCGTGCCGTTGTTCACCACGACGTCCGACGTTTCGCTGCACGTGCTGGGATCTTCAGGAACCTGTCATCTTCATGATCTGTCCACCGCCGCAGGACAAAGAGCCAAGCCATCGCGATATCTCTTGCTATGTCTCTGCGGCTGAAGAAACTCCCGAGCACAAAACGTCGGACAGCGTGCGGAACAGCGCGCAGTAACAACCTGACGACGCATCGAAGAGCTGTCCAACAACTCGCAAAAAAACACACAATTGGTAGCGAAAACCAGTACAGCTTTTAGACCGTGTCTGTGGCATTTGTGTCTCTGGGTTAGAGGTCACTGCAAGGTTGTCAGGTTGAAGGCTTTGATGGGTTTTCTGGTTGTGGTAGCTTAAAAATCCGTGGGTGGTCTGACTTTATCGGCAGCGAAACAGGAAAGAACACTTTGGTCTTTTGATGCGAGTTATTTTTTTTCTCTAACCTTGGAGGCTGAAAAGGAAATAATCGTGCCTGATTGATAGTGAAATTTGGTTGCCTTTTGCATTTGTAACGTGGATTTTTTTTTGGCATTTTGGCATATCCTTCCTCAAGGCACGCATTACCGAATACCTGCTTTTAGCAAAACAACACGCACCGCAGAGAGAGCGAGCGAGCGTGATATAAAGTACAACTGCTGGCTTTTCACGCACCGTAGTTCTTTGCGACAAAAATCCTAAACTCGCAATACTTTTCTTTTTAAATCCGTGTAAGATAAACAGAGCGAGAAATGTGAGAAGAGTCTCTCAAACATTTTTCTTGAGTGCTCCGGTGTAGCTTGTTGCAGGGGTGGGGGGTTTTCTTGAATCGTTGAAGTGAGATCTACGACTGACTGCGCGGGGACAAAAAAAAAAAATCTATCGCCAGTCAGACCGATTTAGTTCAGGGTGAAAAGCGCTTTGCTTTTTTTTATTTTGACAGCGGCGGCCACATTGGCTCCCGCCAGTCAACCAATACCCCGCTCGTAACTTAATACAAATTTATTATGATGATTATGTTAACCTTCGTGTCGTCTTTTCTTTTCTCGAGCTGGCTTGTATCTTGTGACGTTGCCAGACCCCCATCTCGAGGCTCTTATCGACCTCTCCTGCCCCCTGCCAAAGCGTTTTCACTTGGGTTGCCACCTGTCCTGCTTTTCCCAGGACCATCTCTTTATCTTTATTATTTTAGTTCACCATCCGGGGAAATCTGACAGTCCTTCCCAGGATCTTAATAATAGTCCTGGTCGTTGTTAGTTGCATAATAATAATGTTGCACAACTCCAGGCATTGAATTTACAAGTTCAGTAGTTCTTCCTCCTCCAGTATTGTGAAGTATTCATCTTTCCATGATACTGCCCAGTAAGTTTTTTTTTCCATTCTCGGAGGTGGCAGCACTAACGCGCGCAACTACATGCAGTTTAAATATATATATAACTTTCTCCAGCCATGATCAATCTGCTGCTGGATGAACACCTCCCCAACCCCCTCCTCCCCGTTGCCCCCACGTGTTTATGGCACGGCGTTAGTGTCAAAGGGAGCTGGCATCTCGCACTGCGCGTGCGTACGTCTGTATGTTACCCAACACCCCCCGTCCTATCTATTTTAGGGTTAGGGTTATGTTTGGGTTTTTTAAATTAATAAAACTATTATTTGCACCCCCCCCCCCTTCCCCCTCTATACTTTATCTTTGATAGAAAAGTTAGTGGTCATTCTTTTGTTTTTGCACAAATTAAGCGGTGCAACCCCCTCGGCAGAATACAAAACACGACGGACGCGCCCTCAAATCGGCACCCAACCAACCAAGATCGCGTCGCGGCTTCCTGCGTAATCCGCGTCTCTCTGCATGCAGAATTTTGTCCGAACAATAGGGAGCAGTTGTTCTTTGGCTAGTTTGTCAAAGCTTCGTTTAGGAATTTGTGTGTGTGTGGCGGTGTCTCGAAGCCAAAATCGGTTTGTGGTTTTATCGTGGACGTTCGGGAGGATGTGATTTTTTTTCCGATTTTACGCGACGCGTGTGCCGGTAGCCGCAGCGGGGACGCGTTTAATTTAGCTCGTGCGTCGTGCGAAGTGTTTGAGAACGACTTGGCCGCCACCACTGCACGTTTGCAGATTCTCGGGCTACAATTAGTTAAGCAAAACACCCCCTAAAGAGAAAAAGAATTGTATTAATTTGAGCCTTGGGTTGCATTTCTTAATGTTCCTGTTGATGTTTTTTTTTGTATTCGGTGGTCATGCACATAGTTTTTACATTAGCGTGAGTGTGTTGCCTTACATTTAAGATTACAAAAACTAAAAAAAAAAACCTGTAAATATTTTTTTAATGCTATCCTTACATTTTTTCTGCCTCGCTCCACTTGTATTTTTCAGGGTTATCCCATTTAAAGCATCCTACCGGATCTTAAGCACTTTGTAACAACGCCGAAGCCTCTGGCGTTCTTTTTTTTCTTACCCTTTGTTCATTTGAACCGTTTCTCTTCATTTGGCCGCTCGTGCTGCCATCGCTTTGTCGTTCATCCTGGCTAAAAGTAATTTTGTAGCCAAGAGCAGCGGAGGTCTTCAACGAGTGCTGCTGGGTACCGAATCTGCTCCCCTGTGCACTACGCCGAATCGCAGCTCGAGTGTCGGAGCGGCGAAACAACAACCGATGGGTTTCCAATTTGGATTCATTGTTTTGATGAATAAAATGAGGTGCTGTCGTATTTCGAGCGCAGAAGGGTTTTGGGAAAATTGGTCGGATCGATGAATATTTGTTCGCACCTGCTTGAAGCTATCCCTCTCAAGACGAGGACATATTTACACGTCGCCCCTTGTTTTCGTGATTCGGAGGACGGGGTAAACGAGAGGAGGAGGTGGGAGGAGTGGTGGTGCACTGCTGCTGGTGCACTGTGAAGCTGGCGGCCTCGGTTAGATTCTCGGACGGGTCCAACGTTGGTGCTGAGTCATTTGAATTGGGCCTGTGCCCCCCCCCCCCCCCCCGCTGTCACTACACACTTCTATAGAGTGGTGAGGTATGGTGGAAAACCCCCATGACTGGCATGACGTAGGGGAGGCCGTCAACCAGTGGTGGTTTGACAAGGTGCTGATAATATTTTATTTTGTGATGAGGAAATTATATTTTTAACTCCTGGTAAGACGATCTTGATTTGAAGTTTAAGATTAAAACTAAACTTTTTTTATTTTACCGGGCAATGCCCGCTGAGCTATGTTACTCAACAAAGTGGCTTACGTGGAAATTGATAGCAACCAAATACTCTAAACGCGTGTTGATTATAAATGTGGAGGGAAAAACCGGAAGTCCCGGAGAAATATCCACGCGACCAAAGGGAGAACACTGCTAACGCCAAATCTACAGGCGTCAGGGTCGCCTGCATATTTGGATATATGTAAGCGGAGTGATTTATCCTACTTCTAATTGGAAACGCAACAGATGAGCAGATTAATTAGCCCCGTATAGTATCCCGGTGTGAAATGAGTTGCAGGGTTGGATTGCATTTAAATTGATTTACTACACCGAGAGAGACCGTTTCCCATCGTCCAAACATTTGCAATGAGTCAATCGGAAGGTCACGTGACCTTGATGAGGTGTGGGTGCTCCCACCTCTTCCCAGACGTCTGGCCAGTGTGGAAGAGTAGACCAAGGGTGCCCTCCCAGCGGAGTTTTCTTAGAGCTGTTAGCAGAGGCCCTTCCGCCAATATCCTGCTTCGCGGCTGCACCTTTACTCGTGTCCAAACATTGACCCCCCCCCCCCGACCCAAGCGAGCATGTCCGGTCATGCTAATGGGGCGGAGCAGTATCGCCCTGGGTGTTGAGCGGTGACGTTGACACGCATGCTGCTGCCATCGAGACCACCAGAAATGGAGCTATAACCGATGGTCCTGGGATAGATTTGTGGTGCCTCCCCGTCAATCATTTTTCATGCACTCTCCCCGCTTCCCTGCTGCTCCCCCAGTTCCATCGCCGGCCCAGCTTTCCGCGCCTACCGATCTAGACGCAGTCGCACGTGTCTCCTTTGCCGCGATACTGCGAGCGACTATAATAATCGGCACGTCGGCGGCAAAGAAAAGTCCGAAGCTTCGTTGTTAAGAGGGAACTGCTGTCCTGGAGCTTGAAATCCACCCTCCCAAGCTTCTGATTGTTGACTCGGGCATCTATGTAGATAATGCAAAAACCTTCGCTTTATTTCTCCCTTTCCTGGGGCCACGGTGGCCTCAGAACCGGCCATGCGTGCCCGTGTCTCGCCTCTGGCTGTACGCTTCTCGTCGTACACACTTCGAGGTAATGTTCCACTTGTACAGACTTTGTATTTGATAATTTGTATTTCTGTATAAATATTTATCAGTATTTGACATACTTATACATAAAGGATTTGCTGTGTTGTGCATTAGTTGTGACAATAAAGCCTGCTTTGGAAAATGCAAGCGCCTCCAATTGTCCTGTCACGTGTTCGGCTGGGTTTTGTTGATGTTGAGGTGGTTTGTTGCAGAGCAAGACTGTGGCACGGGGATGTCTTCATCCAGCAGTGGATAGATCAGATCATGGCGGATGTGTTTTGTATATGATGGGTCCGTGTGCTAACGATGTCATGTCACAAGAGCCCAACCCAAATCCATTGGGGATCTCTCACAAACCAACGGCCCACCGAATCGGATATTGCAGAACGACTTCTTAGATCCCTCCCAAGTGGCCGGATCGAAACGGTAGTGGACAGCGGGCAGCACTTTCCCACCCACGTTCTGCAACTGAGAAGTCGCGTTCGTCGCATGCATGGCGCAAACACTCCGATGTGTTTTCCATTTCTCTTAAGAGATGGAATTTGGCCAAATTGAGTGCAGACTAAAAATTAACCCGTAAACACAAAGTTTTTCACTATAAATACTTTATATGCGTGGCATCGGTTTTATTTTATTATTCGTTTCTGTTTTTCTTGAGTAAGAGTTTCATTTTTATCACATTGGTATTTTAAATTAAATATGAATTTTTTTTTTTCCTTAAGTGGAAAAAAAACGGCTACCCGTACCCGGCCGGGTACGGGTAGCCGGGTATCGGGTAGGGTACGGGTATCGGGTACCCGGTTGCGATCTCTGCATGTCGTGCATCGGTGTGGCTTTTTTGCCAGTGCATTCCGCATTTTTCCCGCACGGTGTCCATGCCGCATATGCTCCTGGCTCACATTTCCACTGCGTTTGGCACTTCCCACTAAAACCCCTTTACACCTATCTTGTTTTAAGCTAAGGGCACCAGCGATGCGCTGATTTTCACTCCCAACCGACTAGCGTGGTGAGGCTTGGGTGTGTGACGTGTTGACCTTCACCTAGAGACGGGCGTGCTTAATGGAAATAAAACCGGTGAGCACGAAGGCGATTCCATGCATCCACCGCAAACTGACCGCGCACCTGCACGGCGTGGCTTCTCTTTGTGTTTGCCCGGCGTGCTGCTGTTGACACGACTTTGCTACCCAGGTCGGGGTTGGAACGCGCGTTTTTAAATGAAAGAATGAAAAGGCGAATGAGTGAACCGAAGAGTTCGTGTGGTGGAGGGAGCTGGGGTAGTGGGGAGTGATTGGGGGGGGTAGTGGGGGAGGTATTGGGGGGGGGTGTGAGGTGGGGGGGTGATGGGGTGGTAGTGGGGGTGATGGGGGGGTGTGAGGTGGGGGGTGATGGGGGGGTAGTGGGGGGGTGTGAGGTGGGGGTGATGGGGGTGGTAGTGGGGGGGGGTGTGAGGTGGGGGGTGATGGGGGGGGTAGTGGGGGGGGTGTGAGGTGGGGGGGGTGGTAGTGGGGGGTGATGGGGGTGGTAGTGGGGGGTGATGGGGGGTTAGTGGGGGGGGTGTGGGGTGGGGGGGTGATGGGGGTGGTAGTGGGGGTGATGGGGGGGGGTGTGAGGTGGGGGGTGATGGGGGGGGGTAGTGGGGGGGGGTGTGAGGTGGGGGTGATGGGGGTGGTAGTGGGGGGGGGGGGTAAGGTGAGGGGGGGTGTTATGGGGTGGGGGTGACCCGCTTTCAATCACTCATTAACTCAATGTCAATCGCCTGCGGCGGATGCGGTCAGCCAGGCACGGCAGGAAAAACAAATGGCTAAACCGACTGATTGACAACAAGTTTGGTGTAAACTCGCCAGGAATGTTTAATAGCCATGGGTGGCTCATTGCGACTGTGGATTGCAGGCGAAGCGAGAGACAAACACGGGGCCGTGGAAAAAAGAGCATGCCCACGCAAGTTGCTTTCTGTAACGTTTTCCAACGCGGGGGTTTGTTTTTTTCTGCTTGTTCTGCGGAGGAAAGTTAATTTAACGCGCGGTAATGATGCCAATTAATTAACACAAAGGTGTTGGGTAACAACAATCCAGCCAGTTTATTAGAGCAGGAGCAAAAAAATACCTTAACGCATTCGTAAATAAGACTGCAGCGGCCTTAACAGAAAACTTTTTTTAATGATAGTTGACGTTTCGGGGAACGGCCCTTATTCATAGCACATTACATTTTGGGCTCTACAATTATTACGCTCAGGGGGGATGGGGGGGGGGGCTCGATTAGTTCCCGAATCGCGGATTTTCGCGTGCGGATCGCGGAGTGTCGCGTGCGGATTTTCGCGTGCGGATCGCGGATTTTCGAATGCGGTTCGCGGATTTTCGAATGCGGTTCGCGGATTTTCGCGTGCGGATCGCGGATTTTCGCGTGCGGATCGCGGATTTTCGCGTGCGGATCGCGGATTTTCGCGTGCGGATCGCGGATTTTCGAGTGCGGTTCGCGGATTTTCGCGTGCGGATCGCGGATTTTCGAGTGCGGTTCGCGGATTTTCGAGTGCGGTTCGCGGATTTTCGCGTGCGGATCGCGGATTTTCGAGTGCGGATCGCGGATTTTCGAGTGCGGTTCGCGGATTTTCGCGTGCGGATCGCGGATTTTCGCGTGCGGATCGCGGATTTTCGCGTGCGGATCGCGGATTTTCGCGTGCGGATCGCGGATTTTCGAGTGCGGTTCGCGGATTTTCGCGTGCGGATCGCGGATTTTCGAGTGCGGTTCGCGGATTTTCGAGTGCGGTTCGCGGATTTTCGCGTGCGGATCGCGGATTTTCGAGTGCGGATCGCGGATTTTCGAGTGCGGTTCGCGGATTTTCGCGCGCGGCCGTGCGGCGCGAGCATCGCCACAACAGCCGAGGGTTTGCGTCTCAATGGTTCGCCTCGGATCTAATAGCCAAGAGGGGCGGGGGGAGGGGAACACTGCGTGTTGTGTGTGTGTTGTGGTGTGTGTTGTGGTGTGTGTTGGGGTGTGTGTGTGTTGGGGTGTGTGTGTTGTGTGTGTGTGTGTTGGGGTGGGTGTGTGTGTGTTGGGGTGTGTGTGTGTGTTGGGGTGTGTGTGTGTGTTGGGGTGTGTGTGTTGTGTATGTGTGTGTTGGGGTGGGTGTGTGTGTGTGTGTTGTGGTGTGTGTTGTGGTGTGTGTTGGGGGGTGTGTGTGTGTTGGGGTGTGTGTGTTGTGTATGTGTGTGTTGTGGTGTGTGTTGGGGTGTGTGTTGGGGTGTGTGTGTTGTGTGTGTGTGTGTTGTGTGTGTGTTTGTTGGGGTGTGTGTGTGTTGGGGTGGGTGTGTGTGTGTTGGGGAGTATGTGTGTTGGGGTGTATGTGTGTTGTGTGTGTGTTTGTTGTCTTTGTGGGGGGGGGGAGCGGTGGCGCAGTGGTTAGCGCGCAGCGCTACGAACCCGGCGACCCGAGCTCGATTCCCGCTCAGGGCAAACACCGGTGACGATGATCTGAACAGGTTATGGGCCTCCCCTAGGTCGACTCAGCCTCAAATGAGTACCCGACGCGGCGTGTAAACATCGCCACTGGGGAGACAAAGGCGGCCGGGCGTGGTATTGGCCACCCGCCCTCTCGTGTGCCATGCCGGCCTTCATAGGTGCTCGCTAACAGAACTTGCCCCGACAGTCTGTTAAGGCTACACGGGGGATCTTTGTCTTTGTAGTGTGGCGTCGCCTGCCAGGAGGGGAGAGATGGCGACAGATGGGAGATGAGGAGGAGGAGGGAGAGTCGTGTGTGTATGTGGTGTGTGTGGTGTTATTGTGTTCATTGTGGTGTGTGTGTGGTGTTATTGTGTTCATTGTGGTGTGTATGTGGTGTGTGTGGTGTTATTGTGGTGTGTGTGGTGTTATTGTGTTCATTGTGGTGTGTGTGTGGTGTTATTGTGTTCATTGTGGTGTGTATGTGGTGTGTGTGGTGTTATTGTGGTGTGTGTGGTGTTATTGTGTTCATTGTGGTGTGTGTGTGGTGTTATTGTGTTCATTGTGATGTGTGTGTGGTGTGTGTGGTGTTATTGTGGTGTGTGTGTGTTATTGTGTTCATTGTGGTGTGTGTGGTGTTATTGTGTTCATTGTGGTGTGTATGTGGTGTGTGTGGTGTTATTGTGGTGTGTGTGGTGTTATTGTGTTCATTGTGGTGTGTGTGTGGTGTTATTGTGTTCATTGTGGTGTGTATGTGGTGTGTGTGGTGTTATTGTGGTGTGTGTGGTGTTATTGTGTTCATTGTGGTGTGTGTGTGGTGTTATTGTGTTCATTGTGGTGTGTATGTGGTGTGTGTGGTGTTATTGTGTTCATTGTGGTGTGTGTGTGGTGTTATTGTGTTCATTGTGGTGTGTGTGTGGTGTGTGTGGTGTTATTGTGGTGTGTGTGGTGTTATTGTGTTCATTGTGGTGTGTGTGTGGTGTTATTGTGTTCATTGTGGTGTGTATGTGGTGTGTGTGGTGTTATTGTGGTGTGTGTGGTGTTATTGTGTTCATTGTGGTGTGTGTGTGGTGTTATTGTGTTCATTGTGGTGTGTATGTGGTGTGTGTGGTGTTATTGTGGTGTGTGTGGTGTTATTGTGTTCATTGTGGTGTGTGTGTGGTGTTATTGTGTTCATTGTGGTGTGTATGTGGTGTGTGTGGTGTTATTGTGGTGTGTGTGGTGTTATTGTGTTCATTGTGGTGTGTGTGTGGTGTTATTGTGTTCATTGTGGTGTGTATGTGGTGTGTGTGGTGTTATTGTGGTGTGTGTGGTGTTATTGTGTTCATTGTGGTGTGTGTGTGGTGTTATTGTGTTCATTGTGGTGTGTGTGTGGTGTGTGTGGTGTTATTGTGGTGTGTGTGGTGTTATTGTGTTCATTGTGGTGTGTGTGGTGTTATTGTGTTCATTGTGGTGTGTATGTGGTGTGTGTGGTGTTATTGTGGTGTGTGTGGTGTTATTGTGTTCATTGTGGTGTGTGTGTGGTGTTATTGTGTTCATTGTGGTGTGTATGTGGTGTGTGTGGTGTTATTGTGGTGTGTGTGGTGTTATTGTGTTCATTGTGGTGTGTGTGTGGTGTTATTGTGTTCATTGTGGTGTGTATGTGGTGTGTGTGGTGTTATTGTGTTCATTGTGGTGTGTGTGTGGTGTTATTGTGTTCATTGTGGTGTGTG